ACTTGACTGCGCGACAGCCGTGCGGGGCGAGGGCCTCATTGCAGAGACTTCCATCCTCGCGGCGGCGCTGGCAGCGGGAGCCAGGCGGGCAGACCGGGACGGACAGCCGCCGCTTGAGGTTGCCACAGAAGTGCGCGTCTGGCTGGCTGGGGTCACCCAGCTGGCACGGGAGGGGCCAGCTGCCTGCTAATGTGCCCCCGTTCTCGCGCAAGCGGAGGCGGCGGTCCTCGTCGAGCGTCTGCAGCAACGTCGCCCGCTTGGCCGCGGAAGCAGCTTTAGCCCAGTGCCGCTGCACCTTCGGTTGCGGGTCTCCAGTGCAGAGGGGGCGCCGGCAGCTTGAAGCGTCGCCTCTGCCTAGTCGAGCGCCCGTTGCGCCCTCGGGCAGGGCGCCTGGAACTCTCCCAGCGAGTTGGCCCCGAGGCACCTCGGGCCCAGCTGGCGGCGCACGCGGCGGACGCCGACAGGGTAGCCGAAGTGAAGCGCAGCCGCCGCCAGCGAGGCGCAGCGCGGCTTGGCGAGGTTGCAGTGCGCCCAGGGGTCCGCCGGCGAGCTGCTCGAGACAGCCGAAGAGAACTCGGCCCAGCTGCTCCGCCCAGTCTCCTTGCAGGTTGGCGCGGAGGCGGCACGCGAAGCATCCCGGAGCGAACGTCTTCAGAAAAGTAAGCGCTCTCTCGGCCTGGAGGCCCGTTTGCCGCAGCTCTCGCTAGCGGGCGGCAAATGCAGCTGCCTCGGCCGCGGCCGTGGGCCGGCGTGGACCGTCACTCTTTCTCGCCCCTCGCCCTCTCTCCTTCCCTGATCAAGCCACGGGGCGGCGTTTCCCACGCGCGCGAGGTGATCCGCCCAGCACTCCTGGACGTTGGCCGGCAAGTGGCCGCGCCCTTTCAGCGGACAACGCTTGGGTCTTAACCTGGTTGACTGCAAGGCCGTGCCACGTAAGGATGTCAGCGGCATACTGCCTGGCTGCGCCTGCGTGCTCTGGGGGGGGGGGGGGGGGGGGCGAAGACCGCGGTGTCGTCGAGGAAGCCGGCATGAGGGCGAGAGCGCCTGGAGACGCGAGTAGATATCGTCGAGCGCGTCTGCGATGCCAATAGCGAAGAGCGCCGGGGAGAGCGGGCACCCCTGATCCATGCCCGCGCTGGCCTGGACGCGGTGGGCGCCGTCGGCAGGGTCGTTCCACAAGTAGCGCTGGCTGGTTCCCACGAGCCAGTGACGGGTGCTCTGGAACAGCCGGGGCGCCCTCCACCGCGCGCTGTTGATCAACATGCCAAGAGGGACGCCGTTGAAGGCGTCGGAGCAGTCAAGGGCCAGCGCGACGCGGAGGGGGCGTGCCTAGGGCAGCGACGCATGTGTGAACGAGCTCGCACCCCGCCTGCCGTCCGACGCCGTACTGGAGAGGGCCGACTGCTCCCTGCACGTCGTCTTTGTAGACATCGCAGGCGGCCCGCGCGGCAAGTCGGCGGAGCACGGAGCCTCAGGCGATCGGCCGGAGCGCGCCGTTGCGCTTGCGCTGGGCATCCAATCGGGCGCCCAGGTTGGCGCGCGTCGCCTTCGGGCCGGGGCTCGCCGAGCAGGAAGGCGACTGCGACCAGAGCGACCGCCTCAAGAGCGGGGGTGTCGGCCAGCAGCATGCGCCTGCTGCCGTTCGGCCCTGGGCTAGAGCGTCGCGGGCTCTTCGCCAAGTCTTTGGCCACGGCCACGGCCAGAGCGGCGCGAACGTCGTCGTCTGTCGCGGCTGGCGCTTGGAGGAAGCGTTGCTCTGGCCCCTCTGGGAAGAGGCTCTGGAGGCCGGCGTCAACGCTGGGCCCGGAGGCCAGCGCGCCGGGGCGGAACGCTCGCTGCATCGCCTTACTGATGACGTGCCCATCCAATAGGCACTCGACCGCCCGCGCGTCCTGCTTGGCGGTTGGGGCGCTGCCCCTTCCTCCTCCTCCGCCTCTCCTCGGCCTGCGGCTCGCGATCTTTGTGGACTCGCGACAAAGCCCTCCCCACTCCCCCTGTTCGGCCATCGGCAAGCGTCGCTTAAGGACCTTGGTCAAGCCACCCGAATTGTTCGCCTGTTGACCCCCGCTAACTCCCCCGGGCTTGAACAGCATGGCTCTGTCAAAAAACGCGAAAGTTTTCTTCGCCCTGGCCTGGGCAGCAGCATCGCCTGCAGTTCGCGCGTGCAGGAGGCGTTCGGCCAAGCGCCCGCGGAGCTGAGCCAGGGCCGCGCTCATGTTCGCCAGCACCTGGAGGACCGCGGGAACGTAGTACACCAGGGCGTCGTAGTCCTCTGTGTCCCACCATTCCAGGTTGGCCGGGCTGGGCTGGCAGGCTGCTGGAAGGATCCCCTGGGGCGGGCGGGGCCGAGCGCCCCATCGTCCTCCACGAGCAGGGGCACGCCCGGCGCTGCAGCCGGGCGGGCAGTGTCGGGGTCGGTCTTCGCGCGCGTGGCTCTGCCGTGGTCCGTGATGTGCTATGCCCGGGTGGGCCAGCCAGGGCGGTCGCAGCAGCCGCGGACGACATGCTGTAGCTCCGGCGAGAGCGCCGCCGTCCCCTGCACGCTGTCGTAGGGCCCCAAGCCGCCCTCCACGCAGGCAAGGCGGTAGCAAAGCGGGCTGGCCAGCTCAGGACTGCACGCCCGAAGGTCCCCTTCAGCGAGGGGTTGGCGGCACGCTGGGGCGCGACGGAGGGCGCCGCGCCTGCTAGGCATGGCATTGACGGCCCAGGCGAACGCCTGCAAGTCCCGCCCACCTTGGTGGTCTGGGCTCTGTGCGCGGCTGGCGGCGCCAGGGGCTCGTACGGGAATGCAGGCCAACAGGCAGCGGCCAGGACGGGGCAGCAGGCCAGAGGTTCCAAAGCGGGGCAGCCTGGAACGGCGATTGCAGCGCTGAGGAGGCCCTCCCTCCCTCCCTCCCTCCCTCCCTCTTCCCTCCCTCCCCCCTGCCTCCTCCTTCCTCCTCGCCTTGCTCCGCCCCTCGAACCCTCCCACCACCTCCTCGAGCCCCCCCCCCCCCTCCTCCCTCCCCCTTCCCTCCTCCCTCCTCCCTCCTCCTCGAGCCGCTCCTCCGCCTCACCGTCGGCCGCCAGCTTGCTGATGAGCTGCGCCAGGGGCGTCACCTCCTCGTCCCCGTCCTCGCGAACGCCCGGGCGGCCCGTGCCGCCCCCCTGCCCCCACGGCGGGCGGGCGGGCGAGCTGCCGCGGGTCGAAGCGGGTGGGGTGCTGCCAGAAGTGCCCCTGGCCCTGCAGCCAAAGCGTGCACAGTCAACCCGCAGAGCAAGGGCTCACGACAAGGACGCAAGGGCCGCGGAAGGCCGTGCCGACGCGCTGTCAGCGGGGCGCGGCCCGCGAAAGCGGTCAAGGATGGGCCGAAGGGGGAGGATGCAGGGGTGACCTTGGAAAGCTGCTCATCCTTGCTATGCGGGTGTGACTCTTTTCGGGACGGGCGGTGAGGATTGTTGCTCCCATCGTACTTAAGGACCACATCCCAGAAATAACCTCGAGCACCCGGAACAGCGTCGAAAGAGTGTCGACACAGTGCCGAAGCAGTGTCTCCCAGGGCCCGACACGCGAGAACCCTCGAGCCTACTTTTTCTGGTGCTCGAAACTCTTCCTGGTGCTCGAGGGTCTTCCTGGTGACCAAAAGGCTCGAGACTCTTTCTGGTGACCAAGAGGCTCGAGATTATACTCTTTCTGGTGCTCGAGATTCTTTCTGGTGGCCAAAAAGCGAAAGCAGCCCGGAACACCACGAGGTGAGGACGCGGGACCCTCGGAGGCCGAAGCCGGGCCGTGCTCGGGCGGCGGGCGGCCCGCGAGAACCGGCAGAGGGCGGGCCGCAGGGGCAAGGGGGGCCCACGGGCACCGCAGGCGAGGGGCGCGCGCGCGTCCCTGCCGGGCGCGCGGGCTGCGGGTGCCCCCGGGCGAGCGGGCGATTTTTCACACACACACACACACATATAGATAGATAGATAGATAGATAGATAGATAGATAGATAGATAGATAGATAGATAGATAGATAGATAGATAGATAGATAGATAGATAGATAGATAGATAGATAGATAGATAGATAGATAGATAGATAGATAGATCTATATATATAGATGTATAGCTATATAGATGTATAGATATATAGATTATATATCTATATATAAATGGGGGGAGGAGGAGGAAGAAGGCCGAGGGGACGAAGGGCGGACGGACCAGCCAGAGCACGACGATGCAAGTAGCCAGTGCCGCCAGGTCGAGAGGGCGAGTTTGACTCACTGAACCAAGTCCAAGACTCTAGAACCCAGACCACACCCCTCTCTCTCTCGACACTTAGGCTCTGGACTCCAGTGCACCCTAGCCCAGCCCCCCCCCCCCGATGCCCGCAGCCGTGCATCCCGAACCACGGGGATGCCAGCATGTTGGGAGCGGGAGTCATGCGGGCAATAGTTATATCCACATCCAGTGCGTCTTGGAGTCTTGGGCTCCCTTCCCCAGAAACCGTAGACGCACTGGATATGGATAAAAATCTGGCCCCAAGAGGCTTGATCTTATCCATACCCAATGCGCCTCGGCGTTGCGGCACCTCTTCCCGAAAAGTCCAAGACGCTCTGGATATGGATGTAAGTACTGCCCGCAAGTCAGGCTCTGGACGGGGGAGGGAATGCGAGGAGGACGGAGGTCCACCCCAGCCCGACTGGACCCAGCCCAACCCAGCCCGATCTGGCCCAGGGAGGCCCAGGAGGGAGGGCGGAGTGGAGGCAGAGGGAGGAAGAAGCAGGAGAGGAGGAGGGGGAAAGGAGGGGGGAGCGAGGGAAAGATGGCACCCGCGCCCATGGCGACCCGGCCCGACCCAGCCCCGCCCGAGGGAAGGCCAGAGAGGAAGGCGGAGCGCTGAGCTATCTCGGGAGAGATGTGGGAGGGGAGCGGAGGCGGTAGGCAGTGGAGAGACGAAAAGTATGGAAACGAACTCTCTCTCTCTCTCTCTCTCTCTATATATATATATATATACACCGACGCTTTTTCCGACACTGCGCTGGAACTCGCACAGGAACGAACGCGGATCCTGGTGTAAACGGGTTCCTGGTGTGTACATGTTTCGTTGCTTCCCTTGGAAAACGGGGGAAAGGTATACACCACACCACCCCGACGTCGTCCCCGACCCTCAAAAAGTCGTGGGATTGAAAAAACAACCCGCCACTGGTAATGTATAGATTCCAGTTTCCGAAAAGGGGCATCGAAGTGAAAGCCGCTCGAATCCTGGGCTTGCGTGTCTACGAGCCCGTGATATCGCAGGACACTGGTCAAAGCAAAAAGTGGCTGATGGCGTCAGGTTGCAGTGTCATCGTGAGCATCCCAGCGAGCAGCGAGAGAACTCGCTGAGGACTGCTTGCCTGCCTCGCAGCAGTGTCGTTGGTCCGCAGCAGAGCGACGATCGCAAGACCGTAGCTGGTTGCGTCTGGATCCAACTTTGTCCGCCGCATCTCGGTGAGCAGCCACAGGCCTCGCGGCCAGTGCTCTCTTTTACCACGCGCGCCGACCCCAGCGTTGCAGCTGATGACGTCGGGCGCCAGCTTCGCCCACGGCATCTCGCCGGGTGGCGCCAAGACCTGCTGCTGCTGCTCGCCCTGCTCGCCCCCAGGACTCGGAGCTGCTGACAGTGGTGTCGCCCCCAGGACTCACGGCTGCTGACGCTGGTGTCATCACCCAGTGCTTCCGACCATCCACCCACCTCTTCATCTCTACCACCTGGTAGGGCAATGAAGAGTGGTGTTGAGATGTTGGGCGCGTGCTTCCAGAGCACCCATCTCAGTAAGGAGAGCGAACCGATGGCCTGCGTCGTGCGGTCGGTAGAAGCGCCAGGCGTAACCTTCGAGAAAGTCCATATGGGTGAGGGCCCCGCTTTCATTCACGCGGAACTTTGCAACATTGGTGAAGAGCGTGAGGCCACCAACAGCACAAACGCCTGCCACGTCCTCGATATTGTCCGGGGATTGCACAGGAATCCACTGCTGCGAGACCACAGCCTCGGCTGCGACATCTGCACATGCACGTCGGCCATGGCTTGCGCTGTGTGTACGAGCAGTGTCGCTGCGACGCTTGACGACGTGAAATCCCGTGGGGCACAGCCTGGCCGGCCGAGGAGCCTCACAGCCACAGCACCCGGGAACCCGAAGCCCGCAGCGCCCCCTGGAGCTCCGGCAGCGCCGCGAGGAGCTGCGCGTGCACGGCAGGAGGCGGGTTCACGATCAGCATCCCCGATCCCTGCAGGGCATCCCCGCGCGGCCACGAGCCCTCGAGCCACATCTCAGCCACGAGCACGCTGCCCGCGCCGAGGCTCTGGACACGGCGGTGCAGACCCGCAACCATCTCCCGGTCCCCCAGCGGGTACCACAGGGCCACGCAGCTGGAGGGCGACATCTGGAGCAGGCGCCTGAGGACGAACACGTTCCATGTGTTGTGGGACTGCCTGGAATCGTAGGGCGGGTCCAGGAGCACCAGCTGCCGCCTGCTGAGCCAGGGCCAGGGCCCAAAGGTGAGCCGCATGTAGGAGTCGTCGTGCAGCAGCGAAAGGCGGCGACCAACCCCTTGGTCCAGCAAGGAAAAAGTCCGCCTCAGGGCCTCGTACGGCTCGGCGGCGGCCTCGAACAGAACGACGGTGTCCTGTGGCCTCAGCCACTGCCACGCCAGCGCAGGCGACCCTGGGTAGAGGCTCAGGACGCTCGAGGAGGAGCCCAAATCCTGATTGCACCTCCACACCGCGGCCAGGTAATTTTCAGCCAAACCCCCGGTGCTGCGGTCAGCTGCGTGTGACAGCCGGAGCACACCCCTTTCAAACATCCGGCATTGGAGCGTCTTCTCAGAACTGAGGTCATAGACACCAGAGGCGGCGTGCATGTCAATATAAGTAAAGGGATCTGCGACCGCCACCATCTGCTGCAGCAACGCCACGAGAACGATGTGCTTGAAGACGTCCTTGGGGCCACCTGCCTCGAGGTCGTGCACGTACCAGCCGTCGTCAAGCCTATCGCACGGTCCACGCGGGTCCACACGGGCTCCCAACATCGACTCGAGCAGGTCCAGGGCCTTCGTCCACAACTCGCTGACCTCGCACGCTCTGATCCCAGCGCTATAACTGATGACATTGGGCTCCAACCTCGACTCCTGCATCTTGCTGAGCAGCGCCAGAGCCCGCTGCCACTGCTTCCCTCTCTCGCACGCGCTGATCCCGGCGCTGTAGCTGACTACTTGTGTACCCGTGGGGCACATCCGCAAGCGACGTGCTGCTCAGCTCCCATGGCTTCGCCGAGTGATCATCGATCAGTTTGGGGAAGCTTGTGGTGTGATTCGGAGCGTTCTTGGCCCAGTGTTATGTCGGGCCTGTCCCCCTACAGGGGGATTTTCGACGAAAAATAAAAAATACCCCGCGCAGAGAAATGGAGCTCGTCTTGGCCTTCGAAGACCCTGGACGCACATCCTGGCGCCTCTTCGGGCAGGTTGGCGACATCGCAGGCCGTCCATGGACGTCAGCTGGGCCCGTCTGTAGGGGAACCAAAAGTGACATAAACATAAAAACTCGGAGGTCCGCGCGGATTTCTCGGATCCGCGCTGGACTCCCCTCCCTGGCGCGCGGAGCGCGCCAGGGGCGGCGCCGGAGGCGCCGCCAGGGGGCCCCAGCGCCGATCCGAGAAGTCCGCGCGGACCTCCGAGTTTTTATGTTTATGTCACTTTTTGTAGGCGCCGCCAGGGGGCCCCAGCGCCGATCCGAGAAGTCCGCGCGGACCTCCGAGTTGTTATGTTTATGCCACTTTTTGTAGGCGCCGCCAGGGGGCCCCAGCGCCGATCCGAGAAGTCCGCGCGGACCTCCGAGTTGTTACGTATGTTTATGTCACTTTTTGTTCCCCTGGTCGGGAGCGCGCCCGCTGCCGCCTGGGAGGCCTGGGCCTGCGGGAGCTGCGCGCCGGGCCGCCGGCGGCCGCCAACGGCCTGTCGGAGCCCGCCTGGGAGGAGGAGGAGGAGGAGGAGGAGGAGGAGGAGGAGGAGGAGGAGGAAAAGGATTACGGGATCACTCGCGCGCCGTTCGCGCGCGCGGCTCCCGGCATGGCGGTGCGGACGACGCTGGGCTCCAACGTCGCCTCCCACATCTCGCTGAGCAGCGCCAGAGCCCGCTGCCACTGCTCGCCCTTCTCGCACGCGCTGACCCCAGCGTTGTAACAGACCAAAGGCTGACCCGTGGGCTGCGTCCGCTTGCGGGGTGGAGCGTATGGGGACCTCTGGGGGTGTCATCACAACGTGGGGCTCGACCCTCGCATTCGGCGCATGCCTCTGCGCGGTGTTGCTTGCTGCCGCTGTTGCATGTTCTTGGTAATGTTTGCCGCTGCTGCGTGTCGTTGTTGCTTGTGGCTGCAGGGTGCTGCTGATGGCCACGTCTGCTTCGTGTGTGCTACTGACCGCTACCTGCTGCTGCTGCTGCTGCTGCTGCTGCTGCTGCTGTTGCTGCTGCTGCTGCTGCTGCTGCTGCTGCTGCTGCTGCTGCTGCTCCTGCCTGCCTGCCTGCCTGCCTGCCTGCCCGCCCGCCCGCCCGCCCGCCCGCCCGCCCGCCCGCCCGCCCGCCCGGCCTGCCTGCCCGCCCGCCCGCCCGCCCGCCCGCCCGCCCGCTGCTGCTGCTGCTGCTGCTGCTGCTGCTGCTGCTGCTGCTGCTGCTGCTGCTGCTGCTGTGCGCTGACGCCGCTGATGCCTGCTGCTGCTGCCTGCTTCGAGTTTTGTGCTGCTGCCTTCGGGGAATGGGGGCGTTTCGGGTCGCCCCAGAATGATCTTGAGCCATCTTGAAGCTGTATAAGGGCCAAGGCTGGAAAATAATAAGCAACGGTGGGCTTTCTTTTCTAGCGATGTTCCGTGGTGGCTGTGGCCGCCCGAGGAGGTCGGAGGATGTGCGCGGGCTGCGTGGGCCGGGGAGAAGATCGAAGGCACTGGCCTCCAATGGCCAGCCTGTCTGGAGCACTCTCAGAAAAAACTCCTGGACGAGTCGCCCATTCAGACTGGAGTCTTTACAAAGGAGGGGAGAAAATAAGATGCGCATAGGCGCCTCATTTTCCTGGGTGGCCGGCGCGGTCCCATGCGGCCTCTCGAGTCTCTTGCGACCTGATTTGGGCCTCGTGGTGCGCCTTCTGGGGCGTCTGGGGGGCCTCTTGGGGGCCAGCTGGCGATTTCGGGAATCATCCTGGAGCGGAGGGCGCGAACTGTCAGTTCGAGTTCCCCCTCGTGGGGGGGCCCTCTTGGAGCCGTCTTGGGCCGTCTTGGAGGCCTCTTGGGCCGTCTTGGGGCCCTCTTGGGCTGTCTGGGATCTCTCTTGGGGGCATCTTGGGTCATCTTGGTACGATCTTGGGAGCCCCGGGGCCAGCTTGGAGCGTCGAGACACTGAAAAGGCGAGGACGCTGATTCCTTTAAAAACCAAGGAGCAGGAATGATTTTGGCCTCTCGATGCCCTTTTTGGGGGCCTCTTGGGGCCCACTTGGGCCGTCTTCCAACACTATGGGGCCTTCTGGGGCGTCAGGGGGACCTCTTGAGGGCCAGCTGGCGGTTTCTGGCATTATCCTGGAGCGGAGGGCGCAAAATATCAATTTTGAGTTCCCCCTCGGGAGGCCCTCTTGGGGTCGTCTTGGGCCGTCTTGGGGGCTTCTTGGGCCATCTTGGGGCCCTCTGGGCCTGTCTGGGAGCTCTCTTGGGGGCCACTTGGGTCATCTCGGCGCGAATCTAGGGGCCCTGGGGCCGGCTCAGAGCGTCGAGACTCGGAAAAGGCGAGAACGCCGAAACTCTTCAAAAACCCAAGGAGCACGAATGATTTCTGGCCTCTCGGGGCCCTTCTTGGAGCCCTCTTGGCTGGCTGGCTGGCTGGCTGGCTGGCTGCTGCTGCTGGCTGGCTGGCTGGCTGGCTAGCTGGTGCTGGTGCTGGCTGCTGCTGCTGCTGGTGCTGCTGCTGCTGCTGCTGCTGCTGCTGCTGCTGCTGCTGCTGCTGCTGCTGCTGGCTGTTGCCACTGGCACTGATGCTTCTGCCAGGGTGTGTGAAGGTACGTCTGGGACCTCTTGGGATATGTCAGCGCGTGCTGGGAGCATTTGGGGGCCGTTTGGGGACCTCCTGGGGCTTCTTTACGGCGTCTTGGGGGGGCCTTGGGGCCCTCCTGGTCCATCTTGGGCGCCTCTTGGGGCATCTTGGGCCCTCTTGGGCCGTTTGGGGGCCATCTTGGGCTGCTTGGGGCGCTCTCGGGGCCTTCTTCGGGTCCTCTTGGGCCGTCTTGGGCGCGCCTTGGACCGTCCTGTGGGCTGTCTTGGGCCGTCTTGGGGTCCTCTTTCGGGCCTTCTGGGGCGTATGTGGGGCAAACTTTGAAAGTTGCAGGGCCGTCTGAGAAGGAGTGACGACGGAAAAAGCAAAAGTGACAAAAATCACGCTTTCCCACAAAATTGGGACGCTTTGGGGCCCTTCTTGGGGCGTCTCGGGGCCTCTTGGGCCGCCTTTAGGCTACCTTGGGCGTCTTGGAGCGCTCTCGGTTCTAGACGCCCCCTGAGGCTGTGTGGGCGCGCCCCGAGGCTCCAACAGCCCATCGGTGCACAGACCCTTCTCGCACGCACGTGCCTCGGAATTGTAAAGATGCTGACTAGGCTGACTAGGGCTGGCCTGTGGACTACCTTCTGCGAAATCTGCTCGAACTGGTATGTGATGCGATGGCAGTTCCCTGATGGCGTCAACCCGAGGCCCGATCAGCGATAAGCAGGCTAGACGCGAGCAGGGAGGAGCGAGGGGAAGCGAGGAGCAGCGAGCGAGGAGGGAGGAAGGAGCCGTCGCGGGGCCCTCCAGGCGTAGGGCCGCGTGGACTGCCAGACAGCCAGGAGAGAGGAGCGAAGGACCGGTAGAGAGAAGCGAGCAGCGTGGAGTGAGAGGAGCACGGAGCGAAGAGAGACGGGCGAGGAGCGAAGAGCTCGGAAGAGCTCTGGGGAGCCTGGGGGGGCCGCTAGGGAAGCTCTGTAAAGTACCACCAACAAGAGCGGAATGGCAAGCAAAGTGCCGCCACTCGCGCCGTGCTGCCTGCTGGAACCATCTCCCCACATGCTTTTCTTTATCGCTGGCATGGGCTGGTGTTAGCCGATGCGTACTTCTGCTTGTTGCGGCGTGGCGCTACCGCGTGCTGCAGCTCGGTGCTGGTTGATGCTGCATGCCTGCTCCAGTGTACTGCTGCTTGCTGTCGTTGTTGCGTGCTGCTGGCAACGCTTCCCGCTACTGTTTACTGCTGCTGCTGGGGGCTGCAGCGTGCTGCTGAATGCCATTGCAGCTTGCCGCGTGCTGTTGCAGAGTGCTTCTGTGCTGCTTGGCGCTCCCGTGTGCTGCCGCTGCTGCTGCTGCTGCCGCCGCCGCCGCCGCCGCCGCCGCCGCCGCCGCCGCCGCCGCCGCCGCCGCCGCCGCCGCTGCTGCTGCTGCTGCTGCTGCTGCTGCTGCTGCTGCTGCTGCTGCTGCTGCTGCTGCTGCTGCTGCTGCTGCTGCTGCTGCTGCTGCTGCTGCTGCTGCTGCTTGCTTCGTGCTGGGAGGAGGAGGAGGAGGAGGAGGAGGAGGAGGAAGAAGAGGAGAAGGAGCAGGAGAAGAAGGAGGAGGACGAGGAGAAGAAGGGGGAGGAGGAGGAGGGGAGGAGGAGGGAGGAGGAGGAGGAGGAGGAGGAGGAGGAGGAGGAAGAGGAGGAGGAGGAGGAGGAGGAGGGTTCAGGCTGCAGGGTGCGGTTTCTGCCGCTCCTGCCAGGCAGCGAAGCCTTCTGCTCGGGGTACAAGGGGGAGGAGCGAGGAGCACACGCCGAGGAGCCAGGGCCGAGGAGGGGGCGAGGGAGAAGCGAAGGGCGCGCAGGCGACCTGCGAGGAGCGGGGCGCGAGGAGGGAGGAGCGACGGCAGGGAGAGGGGGGCGAGGAGGGGCGAAGGAGGGAGGAGCGAGGAGCGGGGGCGCGAGGAGGGAGGAGGGGGGCGCGAGGAGGGAGGAGCGACGGCAGGGAGAGAGGGGCGAGGAGGAAGGAGGAACCGAGGAGGGAGGACGGAGGTGCGGGTGGCCAAGAGAGGGAGGAGCCCGAGGCTGGGAGAAGAGAGGAGCGAGGGGCGAGGAAGGGCGAGAAGGGAGGAGCACGAGGGGCGAGGAGAGGGGGGGGGGCGGGCCATGCCCGAACGGGGGAGGGGCAAGAGGCGCAGAGGCGTGGAGCGGATAGCCAGCAGGGAGGCCTCCGAAGCGGCCAGCATGCGAACCTCCCGCTGGCCAGCGCCCCGAGGCCGTCGGAGGCCCTCGAGCTCCCGCGGCTGCCCGGAGGCTCGGAAGGGATCACTCGAGGCAGGAGCCTTCCGGCGCGCACGGAGGCTCTGCAGCGTGCAAGATAGCGTTGGGCTGCAGCTTCGCCTCCCACAGCTCGCGGAGCAGCGCCAGAGCCCGCTGCCACTGCTCGCCCTTCTCGCACGCACTGATCCCAGCGCTGTAGCTGACTAGGGCTGACCCGTGGACTCCGTCCACGACATCCTTCTGGAATGGTTCTCGGAGGAACGGCGCAGAGTGTACCGAAAATCTACGAACACGGCGGCGGCTCGGGCGGCGGCAACGAGACCGCGCCTTCGTGTTCGAGCTCTTGCAGCGCTCCAGCAGCTTGGCCCCGGCGCACTGCTCGTTCACCCCACTCCTATTGAGGGCAGTTTCGAAGTCTTTCGGGGATGTGCGTCAAAGTCGAAGCTCATCAGAGGCGTCTCAGGAGCGCCTGGGGAAGGGCTCGGGAGGCCATCGGGGAAAACCACCGAAAGCGCCGGGGAGCGCAATGATCTACAGGGAGGGCCCCAGAGAGCTTAAAGAAAATTTGAAATTCAGTTAAATATTCACAGAAACCGCTGTTGGGTCGGCCATCACCTCCGGGCACGCCTTGATGGTGCGATCCAGTCGCATCGCTGCCAACGGGAGGGTTTGTTCGCCAAGTCCCATTCTGCTCGCCCAGAGGGTCTGTGGTCCGAAGAGTGCGGAGAGGTGCCTGGGTCAGATCAATTGGCTGCTGTCCCAGGGGTCCGGCCTGGTTGGCCCGAAGAGTTTGCCAAGGCCCCTGGGGGAACAGAATGGCACAGCATATCGGGCAAAGGGGGGCGGTAGCTGGCCTGTCAGACCCGGCGTTCGTCTTCTGCCCAAGCGGCGCGGGGCCCACGGGCCCCAGGGTTGGCGGCCCGCTGGGTTTCCTCTTGTTCGCCCACATTTTTGGAGGAGGCCTCCAGGCGAACAGAATGGGGCAGGACAATGAATGTGAGAGACTTGTCGCAAGCTCCCAGCCCTCCCAAATGTTCGCCCGAAGGGTGTCGGGCCGTGTTGGCTCCCTCAAAAGGCCGTCTTGGAGCCGTCTAGACCCGTCTTGAGGGCGCCGTTTGCCGTGATGGGGCCGTTTGGGTTCGTCGTGGGCCCCTCATGGGCACGTCCGTAGGCCGTCTTGGGTCCATCGGGGTCCTTGTTGGCACTATCCTGGGGCTGTCTTGGAGCCGTCTGGGGCCGTGAGGGGGCCGCCTTCGAGTCGTCTTGGGCCCCTCCTGTGCGCCTCCTTGAGCCGTCCTGGGCCCAGCAGGGACCGCGTTGGCACCCTCTTGGGGCTGTCTTGGAGCCGTCTTGAGCCGTCGCAAGGCGCCTTGGGTTGTGTTGGGGCCGTCTTGGCCCGTCTTGGGGCCTTCTTGGGCGTTTCCTCAGAACCTCCTGGAACTTTTTGGGGCCTCTTGGGGCATCCGACCGCCGAAATGGAGGGAAACGCAAAGGCTGTAACAATAGGCAATGGAAAATAAATGATTTTTGCCAGCTAGGGCCTTGCCATCTTGGCCCGCCTTGAGGCCCCGACTGGGCGCCTCCTTGGGCCGTCCTGGGCCTATCTGTGGCCGTGTTGGCACCCTCCTGGGAACGTCTTGGAGTCGTCTTGGGCCGTCTTGAGCGTGCCTTGGGCCGTGCTGGGCCCGTCTGGGGCCGTGTTGGCACCCTCGTGGAGCCGTCTTGGAGCCGCCTTGGGCCGTCTTCAGCGCGCCTTGGGCCGTGCTGGGGCGGTCTTGGCCCGTCTTGGGGGCCCTCCTGGGAGCCTCCTGGGGGCGTTTGGGGTCCTTTTGAGGTGGCCTTGAAATCTTCGAGGGCTGCTTCGAGCGTCCGAAAGCTGAATTGGCGGCAAGCGGGAAATCTCTGGAAAAGCCTAAGACAACAAATGATTTTGACCTCTCGGGACCCTCTTGTGAGGCCTTTTGGAAGCCTCTCGGAGCGCCTTGGCCCTTGCTTGGGTCGTGTCGTGCCCATTTGAAGGTCCTCGTGGACGCTCTGTCGGGCTTCCCGGAGCGTGCAAGGACCGTCTGGGGCCCTCATGGCGCCGTGTGGGGCCCTCATGGCGCCATCTGGGGAGCCTCCACGGGTCCTGGAGCGCCCGAAGGGCTTCCAGAGCGCTTCGGGGCGCTCTGGACCGCTCCCCAAAAGACAAGCGTGGAAGGGCCCCAGAGCGTTGAAAACAGCTCTTGTGGGCATGCGGTCCGGCCCTCGCCTCTCGTCCGACCCCCCTCTCTTAGAGGCAAGGTGGAAGCCACTTAAGGACTTAGGGCCTCTTGGGGGCCGTTTGGGGGCCTCTTTCCGCCCTCCCGGGAATCCCTTGGGTCCCTCTTGGGCCATCTTAAGTGCCTCTTGGGCCGTCTTGGGGCCGTGCGGGGCCCTCTTGGGCGCAGCTCGGACCGTCTTGGGGCCGTCTTGGGCCGTTATTGACCGCTCTTTGGGCTGTCTTGGTTGCCTCTTGGGCCGTCTAGGGCGTCTCTGGAGCCGTCGCGGGCCCGCCTCGGGCCGTTTGGGGGCCCTCCTGGGGTGCTCTGGGGGCGTCTTGGGGCGATCGGGAAGGCCTGTATAGCCGTCCTGGACGCGGTGAAGACGAAAAGAGCGAGCATATCAAAAATGCACGTTTTCCGAAAGGGAGGGGCTAATGTTTGGCCCCTTGGGTCCCTCCTGGGGGTTGGGTCCCTCTTGGTCTGTCCAGGCGCCCGCGTGGGAGTTTCTGAGCCGTCTCGGAGCGGCCTGGGGGCTCGCAGGGCGGCCTGGAGAGCCTGGCGAACTTTCCAAGACAGAGGACCTTCTGACACGCATCATGCCCTTCGGCGAAATCCGCCACCGTGCCTGTGCATCGGTAATCGCTCAGAGGCGTCTGGGGTCCCTCTTGGAGGCAGCTTTGGGGCCTCTTGGGGGCCGTCTTGGGGCTTGCTTTGGGCTTCTTGGGGGCCTCTGGGGACCTCTTGGCGTTCCCTTTGGGGGGTCTTGGGGCCTTGTGTGGGCGTATGGGGGCCCAGGGCTCGGAGTATCAGGGTTTTTCCCCGTTCTTTGGCCCCCTCTTGGGCCTGATTTGGGGTCCTCTGGGGCCGTCTTGGGCGCCTCTTGGGCCATCTTGGGCCTCCCTGAGCCGTCTGGGGACGCGCTTGGAGGCCTGTTGGGCCGTCCTGGGGCGGTATTGTGGGTCTCTTCGGCCGTCTTGGAGCGTCGGCTAGCCGAGAAGGCGAGAAGGCGAAACTCCTTCAAAAACCATTGACAATTTAAGGATTTTGGCCTCTGGGGGCATGCTTCGGAGGACTGTTGGAGGCTCTTGGAGACCTTGTTGGGGGCTGGGTCTCTTGGACGCTCCTTGGAGCCTCTGATGGCCACTTCGGGGGCCCTCTGGGGCCCTCTTGGGCGCATCTGGGGCCGTCTCGGGGCAGTGGGGGCCGTCTTTAGCGCCTCTGGGGCCGTCTTGGACCGGTCTCGGAGCCGTCTTGACTCGTTTTGGGACCGTCGCGGCGCTGTCGTGGCAGCCTCTTGGGCTGCCATTGGCGCCTCAAGAGCCATCGTGGGGCCGTCTTGGGGTTGTCCAGGGGGCTTCCAGAGGCGTGTTGGGGTGATCTGGAGGGCCAGTAGGGCCGTGTGGACATCGCAGTGGACGAAAAGCAGTGGACCTGGAAAAAGGCTTGCTTTCCTTAGGAATTTTAGCGATTTTTCATTGATCTGGCTTTTGGGGGGCTCGTCCTGGAGCCGGCTTGGAGCGTCTCGGGAGGACTTTTGGGCCGTCTGGTGCCTAACTTGGGCATCTCGGAGCGCTGTGGGACCTAGTCGATGGCCGTCTTGGGCCGTCTTGGGCGCTCTGTGGCCATCTGGTGCGTCTCGGGCCGTCGTGGGGCGACCAGGGGGGCCAATTACGCTCCGCCAGCCCCCGCCCCTCTCGCACGCACGTGTCCCTGCGTTGTAGTGTAGAGTAGGGCGAACCCGTGGACTTCGTCCACGACCAGTAGGTCCCCTGGGCGCGCCTCCACGTTGGGCCCCCGCGCAGGAAAAAAGCCACCCCGAAGCCTTCGGTTACTTTTTCCAGCCGCCTTTCCGAAGTTGGAAGGCGGGCGCGTCCTCCTCTTCGCCCGCCCTCCGCTCCACGTCCGCCTGGAGAGCCTCCGGAGCATCACAGACAGATATGGTGGGTCTGCGGTGTGCCTCTCGCCGCTTGTCTGCTCCCCCTGGTTTGAGTCATTTTGAGAGCAGATGGGGCCGAGAAAAAAATCACCCAGAGGGCTCTGGTGACGTTTTTCCGGTTGCCTCCTCGAAGCCTGCTAGCAGGCGCTGCCTTCTGCTCGGGAACTGCTTGGGGGCCTCTCGAGGTTTCTTTCCGGCCTCCTGGGGGCCTCTTGGGGCCCTCTTGGGCCGTCTTGCGGCACCGTGAGGTCCTCTTGTGGCCCTCTCGGGGCCGTCTTGGGCCGTCTTAGGACCGTCTAGAGGCCCTCTTGGGCGCGCTCTGGCTGCTCTTGGGTCTGTCTTGGGTGCTTCTTGGGCTGTCATGGGCGCCACAGGAGCCGTCCAGGGGCCGTCTGGGGCCGTCGTCGAGGCCTGCTGGGGCCCTCCTGAAGCGTCTTGGGGCGAGCTTGGGGGCCTGTATTCTCGTCTGGAACGCTTTACAAACGAAAAACACGGAAGTACGAAAATGCACGTTGTCCTCAAGGTTTGGCATGATTTTTGCTTATGCGGGCTCTGTCGGGCGTCTTCTGAGAGCCCACTTGGAGCGTTTGGGGAGCCTCTTGGGCCTTGTGAAGCTATCTTGAGCGTCTTCGAGCGCTCTTGGACCGTCTCGGAGGCACTCTTGAACCGTCCTGGGACGTCTTGGGGCTCTGTTGGAGGCCTCTGGGGGGGTCTCGGAGCGCTCGTTGGCCATCCTCGAAGCGCACCAGGGCCTGCTGGGTCTCGCACGGGCCGCCAGGGCCCAGAAAAAGCCTGTCGGACACCCGGTCGTCTCACACGCACCTGCCCCTGCATTGTAATAGAGACTAGGGCTGACCCGTGGCTTACTGGCCACGAGATCTGTCCGGGATGGCCCGTGAGATCTCCAAAAGACAATCGTGATGACGTTGGGCCCGAACATCGCCTCTGCTGTTGCTGCCTGCAACTGTAGGGTGCTGCTGCATGCGGCATGCTGCTGCGTATGCGAACGTTGGCTGTGCTGCCGCTGCTT